TCCAAGACCCCAAAGGTGAAGAAGAGCCAGCCATGTGAGAGCAGAAGAAGAGTGTTCTGGGCAGAGGGAACAGCTTATGCAAAGGCCCTGAGGCAGGAACGACCATGGCTGCTGGAAAGGGTGAACGGATATACAGGGCCCCTCTCCGTGCTCACTCTGTTACTGCCAATGATCAAGATCTCGAGGCAGATGCTGACTGGGAGCTCTGAGAGGGCAGGGAGATTAGTACTGAATGGTGAAAAAGCAAGGCCTGGAGCAGTCACTTGCTCACTGGGTCCATGTCTGAACCAATGCCGGCAATAAACCACTCTCTGTGGACTCCGGGTGTCGGGTCTGTCTGTCACAACTGGTATAGGAAGCAAAGTGGGGACACTCACCTCATGTTGAAAGGGACCACCAATGGCACCATGTACTGCCTGCTGGTCTTTGGGGAGCCTGAACTTGGGATCTTCGATGGGTCGCAGTGGGGCGGGCAGCATTTCTGTGGGGAGGAACAAAGTGTTAGTGAGCTGCTTTCAGACACAAGGTTCGGCCAGGAGTAGAGGGAAGGGCCTTTGGGAGCTGTGTTGGGGTCCCCAAGCCTACCCATGGGTTCAGTGATTTGGTAGGAGGACTTCTGGGGCTCAGTATATAGTCACACTCAGGGCTACTATCTGTTACAGCAATAAGTTACAGAGAAAATCAGAAAAGGGAAAAGGCCCTGGGGCAGGTCCAGGAAGACCAGGTACAAGCTTCCAGAGTCTTCTCCCAATAGAGACACACAGGACACGCTCAATCCCCCAGCAATAAGTTGTTACAGGTGTGAAATGTTGTCTCCTAGAGACCTAGTGCCCAGAGTTCTCACTGGGGGCTGGTCATGCAGGCACCTCCGCCCAGCACAGACCCAGATTCCAGACTCCAGGAGGAGAGCAGGTGCTCAGCATGAACTGCATTGTTTGTACAAACAGTTTAAGCTCAGGGTGGGGCATCCTGAAATTCAAGTCCCCAGATGCCAGCCAAGGTCCAACTTGGTAAGCCGGCCTTTCTAAGGGCGGCAGCCTCAGACCTGCTGCCATGCTTAGAAAGGTTTCTGCACAGGACCCTGAAATGGGAGACAGGGAAGGTGGGTTTGGATCATGAAAAATAATTCCACCAGATAATTAGAAAATAAAGCACTTAGTGTTTTGAGCACCTACTGGGTGTCGGGCACCACATAGAGCACTTTCTACTGCTTTCAAAATCTCTATGAGACAGAGAGTGGTGTACCCATTCTACAGAGGAAGAAACTGAGTCCTGGCACTCGGTCACACAGCATGAGTAACAGAGCCAGGATTCGTACCTGGGGACAGGACTTGGGGGTAACAGTGTAGTACAGCAATTAGGAGCATGGGTTAGGGAACCAGGGGCCTGTCACCTCCCACACCCTGGCTATAACATAACCTCTCTGGGCCTCAGTTTCCTTATCTGAATGGATATTACCCATCCACTTGTGAGGATTTGATCAGCACGGCACTTAGTGCAGAGCCTGGCACAAAGAAATACCTACCAGTGCATTATGGAAATAGATGGCTCCCAGTAGGATGCTCAGGGTGAAAGGACTGTCAAGGCCATGAGGTCCCACACGCTGCGCTGCAATTGAAAAAGGCTGGACTGCATTCCTAGCCTAAGTGTTTCAAAGATGAGGGCATCGTGTCACAGGAAAGGACATCAGCTAGGCCTCAAACCTTGGGCTACTGGAAGTCAGTCCTAACATCTTGGATTCACACACTCCCGGGCCTGGGAGCTCACTCTCTTTCTGGGAGCATACATTCTTCTGTGGGGTGAGGACAGGCGCTCAGAATTCCAGAACTCTTTTCCTAACACTGAATCCTACGTTCCAAGACCCCCTCCACTCCAAAGCATTGGGTTTGCACAACAAGTCGAGAAAAGAAGCTGAGGGGCTCTGTGGCCAAATTTTAACTCCTTCTAGGAAAGCGATTGGCTAGAAACCCTAGGGAGGGCGGGCCTTAGCAGAGTCGCGCTCCTGAAAAAGAAAAGTGTAGCAAGTAATACAAAATTTTAAAGAGAGCCCGGCCCCCTAGGGTAGCGATTCTATAAAACCCAATAAGGGGAAGCGAATGGGTAAATATTCCAAGATAGCTCCGCCCCCCGCCTGTGATTGGATATATGCTGGGGGAGGTTTAGCAAAAGCCCACCTTCCGCCAAAAGAGATTGGGGTGGGAGCCCCGCCCCGCAGAAGGCTGATAGGGGAGAAGATAAAAGGTTGCAGTAGGAGAGCGAGCATTGGAAGACCACGTAGGTCAGAGCTCCGAAATACATCCTGGATGAAAAGCCCTAGGCGTCCAACACTTACGTTTAAAACTTTCCACTCCGACGTCTTTGCCGTCTATTTTTCTCAGAAATAGGAGAAAACGGATTAGGGTCGATATTTACCGAACTTCCCCGGCCGTCCCTTGTATTTCCGGTACTGTCACTTCCTGCAGCCTCCAGTATTGGCTGTGGTAAACACAGCTTGCTTTTGTCATTGGGTCCTATACCTGCCCTTTAAAATCTCAATGGGTAGTCTTTTCTCCCCAGTCATAACTGTGGTGGCTTGCAACAAAGGTCCCAGGGCCGTCTGGATTTTGAGTGTGCCCTTAGAAGTCAGCAGCCGCTTGTTAAAAGTTCTTCATGACACGATGTAGCTGTTGGTCGCTGTACTCCCTGTTGTCCATTCTTTTTTTTTTCTTTCTTTTAAACAACATATTTTCCAGGGCAACTTTCTGCCACGTTATTTATTTATTTATTTATTTATTTATTTATTTATTTATTTATAGAGAGGGGAAGGGAGGGAGAAAGAGAAACATCAATGTGTGGTTGCTGGGAGTGCGGGCGGTGGCCTGCAACCCAGGCATGTGCCCTGACTGGGAATGGAACCTGCGATGCTTTGGTTTGCAGCCCGCGCTCAATTCATTAAGCTACACCAGCTAGGGCTTGTTCATTCTTTTATTCAGCAAAGAAAACGCTCAGTGTTAGGCTCTTACCCTGTGTTCTGGCCTCTGGGAACCCACACATTGTCCCTGTGTTGCTCCCATGGGGATGGGGCATGGTTCCCATAGGCTACACATGTCACTGGTTAGAGAGTACCCTGGTCAGCCCGCCCCAAGTTTATCTTGAATCACAAGCAAAGACTCTAAGACCAGGCTGCAAACCCACCTCCCCGCTCCACACACACTAGTTTACAATGACCCCCCATGCCCGGCCGCATTGTCCCTTCAAAAAGGAAGTCCTACCGCATTCCTTCCCCAGCCTCCTTCCTTCCTTTTATAAATGTTGTGTGTCAGATATATGCTCAGTCACTGGAGACACATCAGAGAACAAGATGTGATTTCTGCCATCAAAGGGATCACTGTCTCTCTGGTGGGACAGATGGACAATAAACACACAAAAAGGACAATTAGGCTTGATAAATAGTCTGAAGACAAAACAGGATAACTAGGAGAAGTGACAAGGAGCTGCTTGAAATGGTGTAGGAGTTTCCTATGGCTGCTGTAATGAATTACCACAAGCTCAATATTTTTTAAAAAGATTTTTCATTTTATTTTTAGAGAGAGGGAGAAGGAGGGAGAAAGAGAAGGAGAGGAAAATCAATGTGTGGTTGCCTCTAGCACACTCCCTACTGGGGACCTGGCCCACAACCCAGGCATATGCCCTGACTGGGAATCAAACCAGCTACCCTTTGGTTCCCAGGCTGGCACTCAGTCCACTGAGCCACACCAGCCAGGGCTGTGAGCTCAATGTCTTAATGCACATCTATCAGAGTTCTGGAGGTCAGAAGTCTAATATGAGTGGCAGGACAGGTTCCTTCTGGAGGCTCCAGGGGAGAATCTGTTACTTTGACTTTTCAGCTTCTAGAGGTGCCTGCAATACTTGGCTCATGTCTCCCTATCACCTTCTATCTCTCCCTCTGAGTTCCTGCCTCCCTCATATAAGGATCCTTGTGATTTTCCTTAGGCCCCTCCTTGATGCTCATTAACTTAATGAAAGATCATTAAAATTTAAATTAAGGAGTCTCGCCCTGGCTGGTGTGGCTCGGTGAAATGAGTGCTGGCCTACAGAACAAAGGCTCACTAGTTCGATTCCCAGTCAGGGCACATGCCTGGATTACTGACTAAGGGGCATGTGAGAGGCAACCACATATTGATGTTTCTCTCCCTCCCTTCCCCTGTGTCTAAAAATAAATAAATAAAATCTTTTAGAAAATGTATTTTTAAATAAATTAATTAATCAAGGAGTCTCACAATTCTTAATTTGATCATATCTACAAAGTCGCTTTTGCCATGTAAGTTACCTTATTCACAGGTTCTGGAGGTTAGGATGTGGATATCTTTTTTTTAAGATTTTATTTATTTATTTTTTAGAGAGAGAAGGGAGGGAGGGAGAGAGAGAGAGAGAGACATCAATGTGTGGTTGCTGGGGGTTATGGCCTGCAACCCAGGCATGTACCCTGGCTGGGAATTGAACCTGCAACACTTTGGTTCACAGCCCGAGCTCAATCCACTGAGCTATGCCAGCCAGGTAGGATGTGGATATCTTTATGAGGGGCATTATTCTGCCCATCATAGATGAGGTAATCCGGGAAGGCTTCTGGAGGAGGAAACCTTTGAGATGAGACCTAAGTGAAATCCACAAACCAACCCATGAATTGAGAAAATCCTTCTGGGCCTGACTGCTTTGCCCCCTCCTCAGGTAAATATTCTCAAATAAACTCATGTCCCATTTGTGTCCACCCACACTGGGCTCACACCTGGGCATCTTTTGAAATGATGGGTGAACCAGGCTGCTGAACTGAATGGATCCCACCATCCCATTGCTGGCAGAACCCCTCCACACCCTCTCTAACCCCTCGAGCCCTGTGTCCTCCTCTGGTCCAGCCCTGAACCCATCCACGGCGTGGTGATTCATTGCATGAGAGTCCTGTGCTTCCCTGTCCTCTCTGACTCCTCTCTGGGTCTGCTGAACAAAGGAAGGCAGAGTCCTGATTCTATTGAAAATGGTCCTTGTTTAATTAAACAATAAATAATACATCACAATCACAGTTCTGTAGCGAGGGCATACATCTCCATTTCACAGATTAGGAAATTAAAAGTTAGAGAGGCAAAGTCACTTGTTCAAGGTTGCCCAGCAACTCAGCAGCAGCGAACCCAGGCTGGACAGGTTCCATCCACCTTGGAGTGGGAAGCAGCAGTGCAGGGTGGGGTGGGTGTCAAGGAACGAGCCCCTCTTCTGGGGTGCTGCGGAGCCCTTGCTACTTGCCCAGGATCACAGAGGCAGTGGCAGGGAGACTCCAGTTGCTTGACTCCCCGTAATCAGTGAGGTCCTGAGCAGCCACCTGGACGCAGTACCTGGCCTGGGGCCTCACAGCTCTGAGGGTGAAAGACGTGGCTTCAATGGGCCCCACCTGAGAACATAAAGGGGGGGTCAGTGGGGACGAGGAGGCCGGGAAGGGCCACTGTGCGCACAGATCTGCGTGAATGAGCCTTCGGTCCTTTTGTTCCACCCTAAACTGCACACCCTCCTCAGCCCCTCCATAGCCCCCTCCCAGTCTTTGGCCCTTCCTGGCCCTAACCTGTATGGACTCCAGCACCAGCCCAGGGCAGACTCGTTCAGGGGTCCTTCGTGCACCACACGGTCTTTGAGGGATGTCTCAGTAGTGAGAGCCCCCACTCCCCAGACACCCCTCCCCACCAACCCCATTCCTTCTCCAGGCCCTAACCCAGAGCTTCTATCATTGGCCTTGATGCCTCCTCCCCCCTGGCCCCTGGTCCACTATAGTAACCATGTCTTTAAATTTTTTGTATCTTAGGATGGGTTGACATCTTGCTGGTCGGAAACAGACTGCCCTTCTTGGGGTCAGCCAATCGTTAGAGATGGCAAAGGGTCAGCGCCAGGAACATACATTTCAGGTGCAAACCAACCAATCCTGAGTCTCTACCCTCACCACCCCTTTCCTCCAATTTCCCACAGGAGCCAGGGTACCTCCCGCCTTCGATCAGCGCAGGGCCAGCTGCCATGTGGCTCAGGCTCAAGATCACCCACGCAGCACAGGGCCCACCTGAATGATTCACACTTGCCAACCCCGGGCGTTCACCCCCTCCCATCTTTCCTTTCCTGTGGAAGCCCCAGCAGAGGCTCGGCCTCGGCTCCCCTCTCCTTGCTGTCCCTGCCTCCTGCCATCCTGATGTTGCCTGTGTGTCCCTGCATGGTTGGCGAGTCCCCTTCTCTCAGGAAATGCAATCAATTCTCCGTGTCCCCTCTCAGGCACCTCCATGAATTAAAATCCCATGGACATGAATGAGACACCCAACCACTCTGCCTTTCCTGCTTGCTCTCCTGTTGCCTTTTCTTCTCCGTCCCTGCTGCTCCGCCCTCTCCCTCCTTGGCTTGGCCCTCCCCTCCTTCTGAATCCCACCCCCTCCTCACAGCTCCCCAACCCCAGGTCTGACTCTCTCCCTCCCTTGCCCTACTTGAGTTGTCCCACGTCGTCGTAGGCTGAGGTGGCGCTGTGAGGTTCAAATTTAGAGTAATGGTTGTGCAACCTCGTGAACACACTCAAAGCCACTGGCTTGAGAACTTTAAAATGGTGAGTTTTCTGGCATGTGAGTTCTATCTCAATTTAAAAACTGCGAAGATTTTAAAGAATTAAAGTAATGGTACTGACCAAGTGGCTCAGTTGGTTGGAGTCTCTGAGCACCAAAGGGTTGTGGGTTTGATCCCCAGTCAGGGGACATACCCAGGTCTTGGCTTTGATGCCTGGTCAGGACCCTTATGGGAAACAACCAATCGATGTTTTTCTCTCACATTGATGTTTCTCTCTCCTTCCCCCTCTCTCTAAAATCCATAAACATAACCTTGGGCAAGGATTAAAACAACTAAATTAATGAACACCGATACAATTTAAAAGCCAGTGCCTGGGCTACCCGCCACACTGGAATGGCTCGGCAGCACCACGTGTCTCGAGGCCGCGTCCTGAGAAGAGCGGGTGTAGAAGATTCCCACGGGCACACAAAGGGCTGTAAAAGCCAGACTCAGCAAAGACTCAGCTCTGCACAGTATCTGACACTGACCCGGCCACCACTGGCCTTCCTGAACGCTCACTGAACCCTGCTTTATTTTTTATTTTTTAAGAAGTTAAAACAATATATGTTGTTTTCAACCAAGGTGAAATTCACATGGCCTAAAATTAACCATTCTAAAGTGGACAATTCAGTGTCATTTAGCACATTCACAATGTTGTGCAACCAGTATTTCTAATTCTAGAAAATTCCATCAGCCCCAAAAGAAACCACATCCTCATCAGCAGTCACGCCCCATCCTTCTCCCCAGCTGCTGGCAACCCTGAATCCGCTTTCTGTCTCTGGGTTTCCCTGTTCTGGACATTTCACATCTGGCGTCTCTCACTGAGCATCACATGCTCGAGGTCCATCCTGCCGCAGCAGGTGCCAGCGCTTTCATGGCTGAGGAACAATCCAGTGTGTGAGTCGGCCGTGTTTGTGCGTCCTTTGCCCACTGATGGACATTTGGGTTATTTCCACCTTTCAGCTGCTGTGAATAGCACTGCTAGGGACATTTGCGTATAAGTATATGAGTCCCTGTTTTCAATTCGTTTGGGCAGATACACAGGAGTGGAGCGGCTGTGCTGCCTCTATTTCGCACACCAGCCACAAGCAACCTCAATCTACATGGGAGGCCCTGGCACACTTTGCACATGCTGTTCCCTCTACTTGGGAATCACCTTTCCCAGCCAGCTCTCGTCTCCCTCACCTGGCGGAAGCGGGCAGTCCCGTGACGCTTGTATCGGATCCAGTACTTGAGTGAGAAGATCTCCGGGAAGGGCCAGGACCTGGGAGGTTCCCACTGCACCCACAGCCGCTGCCCATGGAGGGGGCTCAGGCGCACACCTTCTGGAGGGTCCGGTTTGACTGATAGACAAACAAGAGACAGTCAGCAGAGCGTAGTTTCATTCATTCATTCTTCATTCATTCATTCATTCATTCAAACAACCAACAAATATTGACAGTCTACTGAGTGTCCAGAACATCGCAGAGACCCAATCCACAGGGCAGAAGGCAAGAGACAAGGAGCAAATCCACTGATCATAGAGTAGGGAAGAAAATTCAGGAGTGCAGGGAAGAGAGTCTTTTGCAGTGTTTTTTTGAGACATAATTCATATGCCACAAAACTCATCCTTTCAAAGTATAGAGTTGGGTGGTTTTTTGTACACTCACACTGTTGTGATCACTTCTATTTAATCAGGACATTTTCATCACCCCAGAAAGAAATTCCACATCCATGAGCAGTCACCCTTCCCCCATTCCTGGGGGACGGGGATGGGCAGGCTGGGCAGGGCCCTGTGGGTCATGGGGTAGACTTGGGCTTTTACCCCAAGGGAGGTGGGAGCTATAGGCTGTGAGCATGTTGGGGTGTGACTAGGGTGACCTGACTAGGTGACCTGACTAGGGTGATCACGGGTACCCTCTGGTGCCTGCTTCAGGGAAGGAGTCCTCTGGGGCTTCTGGGAAAAGAGGGTGGGAACAAGAAACCAGGGAGGACAGTGGCCCATGTGGGTTGGATCAAGTCATGAGCTTGGACTGGGTGGAGGTTCAGGAAGGGGGAGAAGTGGGAAGATTCTTGATAGACTGTGAAGGTGGAGCCCACAGGATCCATGACCGAGGACGGGACTGGGTGACGGATGGAAGGTGGGTTGGTGAGGGGGAAGAGCAGGAAAAAGCCGACGGCCCCCCGCACCCCCCACCACAGCACCCACTCACTGATGTGCTCTGGCACAAAGGGCACAAAGCTGCTGCTGATGCCCCAGGTGTGGACGGCCGTGATGTTCAGCATGTAGGGTACCATGGAGAACATTCGGATGTCTGGGATGGTGCAGCTGGTGGCCTCTGGTGTTGGCTGGAGGCAGGGATGGCTCTCCCCACGGGCGGCCACGCCAAGCCTGGACATGGGGTGGGCACTATGATGGCCTCAGCACTTCCTGCTGGCTGTTCCTGTACCTGGGACCCTGGGACCCCAAGTGGGGACAGCCGGCGAGGAGCCCTGGTCTGGGGTCCTGCTCATGTCTCTGTGAGACCCTGGGGGAGGCATTCACCTGACATCACGGGGCCCACAGTGACCCAGGGCTGGGGGGGTGAAAACCACAGGAGATGCTTGGGTCCAAGATTCTAAAAGTTTCTGGAATGTCAACATCCTGGCCTTAGAATTCCAACATTCTGAGGTCTACAGATTCACAGATTCTGGAATCTGAAAGAGTAGGATTCTGATTCTCTCCCTTTCTGAGGCCCCAAGATTTTATTTATTTTTTTTAAAGATTTTATTTATTTTTAGAGAGAAGGGAAGGGAGGGAAAGAATCATGGATCGGCTGCCTCTCGCATGCCCCCAACTGGGAACCTGACCTGCAACCCAGGTATGTGCCCTGACCAGGAATCGAACTGGCAACCTTTCAGTTTGCAGGCTGGTGCTCAATCCACTGAGTCACACTGGCCAGGGCATGAGACACATGCTCCCCCAAGATTTCAGAGTTCAGAGGCCTGAGCTCAGTGCCATCCAGAGAACTTCCCGCAGCGTTTCCACACACGCCCTGTTCCCACGCTGTCAGTCACAGCAGCCCCTTGCTGCCTGCGGCTCTCAAGCACTTGAAATGCAGCCAGCACGACTGGGTGTGACTTTGACGTTTAATTTATTTTATCAAATCCAAATGTAATGTTTCCAGTGATCAGGAAACTTGGAAAAGTTGTTCAGAACAAGTTAGGTATGTGAATTTACTGCTTCAACTGCAAATTTTATGAAATCGAATCAGAGATCAAGAATTTCTGATAAGAGTCTATTATCTGAATTGAAACACATTATATGCATCAAGTTCATGGAATTCTGAAGACCTAGTATAAAAATGAGTAAGAATGTAAAATATCTGTTAATTTTTTTAAATAATGATTACATGCTGAAGCAATATTTTAGCTGTTCCTATTAAATATTAGTTTCCATTCTAAATTTAAATATATACATTGTATGATAAGCACATTCAATTACATTATGCTCAATCATATTAAATGATAAATATTTGGAATATATATTTAAATAAAATATTAAAATTAATTTTACCTATTTCTTCTTTTTGCTTTGCTTTTATCTTCCTTCTCTTCTTTTTAAATGTGATGTCTAGAAAACTTTAAGCTACACATGTGGCTTGACATAGGTATTATTGGAAATATATTTCTATAGGAATTTCTGCTGCCCCAGAATTCTGAGCGTTTCGGATTAACATAAGTCTGCAGCTGTCCTGACCCTAGGGGCGGCAGGCCCAGCTGAGGAACCTCCAGGAAGCCCCTCCAGGCTCTCTGACCTGTACGTGGCAATGATGGATGTGGGCCTGGTGGAGTTTGCAGCAGCCAGCAGGGTCCAGAAGCAATCCACGGCAATCGGGTACCTAAAGGCCCAGCACCACACCCTGGGCTGGGAGGGGACTGCTGGGGGGCAGAGGGAGGACCGTGAGATTTTGATCTTCCCAGGGCTGCAGTGCCCTGCCATGGGTTTGCCCAACCTCATTGCCAGCCAGTGCCAGTCACACAGTGGGTGCCCAATAAAGGTTTGTGGAACGAATGAGTATACGGATGAGATACTTATGTCATCTCTCACCCCCATTACAACCTGCAAAGGAGGAACTATTGGGTCATTTTCCAGATGGGGAAACTGAGGTTTAATAAGCCACAGAGAAGACCTGGGAAGTGCAGAGCCCTGATGGAAGTGAGATATTTTACCGTATTCCCTGTTACAGCTTTGATTCCAAGCACATGAAATGAGTGCATGCCGTTAACCCTCACCTCCACCCCACCCCACCCTGTGACTCTCTCTCTCTCTCTCTCCCCCCTCCCCACCCTCCAGCTGTGGCTGCCACTACCTGATGTCACTCAGGACTCATCTTCTCTGTGTCTGACTTTCCTCCTCTGTGCAATAGGGTGGCGGCCCTCTCACACCAGGGGGCATGCGCGCAGGAGGTGTGTGAACTCTCACCCCACCCCAGAATGTCCCACAACAAAGTCCAGCCCTCAGCCTGGCCCTGGCCACCCAAAGCCCCAGGGGTCCTACATACCTTCTCTCCCACTGCAGGATGAGTAGCCAGCCCAGAGGGCAAGGGCCAGGAGGAGTCTTGGGGCCATGGCTCCGGTGGACTCTGCTTTCAGAAGCTGGGGCAGGGAGCACCCTCGGGGAGGCAGGACACTCAGACCCACCTGAGGAACTGGCCCCTATCAAGGCCCTCCACTTCCCCTTCTCAGGGTCTGACTCACTGGCAGGTGGTGGGCCGAGGAGAGTCAAGCAGGACGGTAGAGGAGCCCTCAGTCCGCTCACTGGCCACCCTGGGACACAGCGCGGAAGGCTCTGAGGATGGGGGCAGGGAGAAGAGGCCTCGAAAGGGAGAAGTGGAGACCCTGTGGCCTTTCCCAGCAGTCAGTCTTTCCTTCCGGCTGTAGTGAGGAGGGGCTGGGGAAACCCCGGGAGGGGGACGCTGACATGGAGAAAGACAGAGACAAGGACAGGAGGGGAGGGACAGAGAAACAGAGGGAGACTCAGGAGAGACAGAGAGGAGAGAGGAGACAGAGAGAGATGGAGACAGAGAGATACAAATGAGCCAGGAGACAGAGACAAAGAGATGAGAGAACTAGACACAGATAAGAGAGACAAAGAGACAGGGAGAGGTAAGAGAAATAGAGAGAAATAGACAAGACACATAAAGATAGAGACAGAAAAAGAGAACGAGCCGGGAGACCGAGAGACCAGGTAGAATGGGAGCAGAAAGCAGCAGAGACAAATATCTAGGAAAAAAGAAGACAGGGACTCGAGAGACCCAGGAGATGCCCATTCTCTCATCAACCACAGCAATGGGGTCCCACACTTTCAGGCCACACTCCACACCGTGGGCCATAGAGACACAGAAACCAGGCCCTGGGGAGGAAGCCCCCACCCCACCATGGACATTCTCCTAGCAACGGGGATGCCCAGGACCAGGTTGGACAGTGGGGGATGGGGATGCCCAGGACCAGGTTGGACAGTGGGGGCGTTCACAGCCATAGTCATCCCCACTCCCTTAGCTGGAAAGAGCTGAGAACCCCCTGGGGATTTCAGGGAATTTGCCCAGGGACCGGGAGGTTGAGGGTGGGACTCTCCCTCCCAGGGGCTGGGTTTAGGGTAAGGAAAGTGAAGTAAGTGCAGACTGGGCTCCTTCACTTAACACATGGATGTTTTGTTCGTTGTGAACTTTTCGGCAGCCATTTTGACTTTTTCAAATGTTGCAACAACACAGTGTTCATCTTGGGGACTGAGATTTTGGTGCCGGAGGGCTGTGCTTCACTCTCCTCACCCTAACCTTTAAGATCTGCTCTGAGCTACTCCCTCCCCTCCTTGCAGTGGGAGCCCAGGAATCAGGTCACACACTTTTCTCTGCTTGGTGAGTTTTATTCTTGAGGTGGCATCTGGTGACAGGAGTGAGAGACTGGACTCACATATCCTCTGGTGGGGGGCGGGACATGGTCAGGGCCCGGGGGATAAACAGCCAGCCAGGGATAGTCGGGAGAGCCAGGCTGATCTCTGAGTTCAGAAGGTCTGTGCCTGAGCCCTGAGTCCCCTGGGCAGGGCCTGGCGGCAGGGGTCAGTGTTCTGAGGCTTAGCGCCCCTGAGCCTGGAGCCTCTGCATCTGTAGGATCTGGCTCAGTATCCGTTGCACATCTTCGTCCATCTGGCCCTGGGGTGGGGGGAGCAGAGGGAGACCTGGGTGCCCCACCACTGTACAGATGGGGAAACAGAGGCCCAACAGCAGCCAGTGGTATGGCCAGAGCCAGGGCTGACTCACCTGAATGGCGTACAGGAGGTGGCTCCTATACAAGGCCACCACTGCATTGTGGTCCCTGGCAGCTTCCTGTACATGGTAGAGGGGCACTCAGAGAAGCAAAATAACCCTGAGCCACCAAACGATCCCCTTTGCACCGTGAGCATGGACCGCATGGACCGGTGTGACAGTGCCGGTTGACAAAATGTTGCAACATTTTCCTCCATGCCTGGCACACTGGCCCCATGGTCCTGTGCCCCGCCCCAGCCCTCTCCGGGCTCCCTGCGTGTGCCCAGGGCAGCTCTCACCTCCAGCTGCCCCTGGAGAGCCTTCACCTGCCCACGGAGGGCCTCCACCTCAGGGCTGCCTGGGGCTGCTGGCTGGCCCTTCAGCGCTTCCTTTAGACTGAAGACCTCCTTGGAGAGCTCTGTGATCTGCGGCAGGAGTGGGAGGTGTCAGCAGTCGCCTGGTGGCCCTGAGCCCAGGACTGGGGTAGCAGTGGTAACAAAGGTGGGACAGAGGCTCGCTAGGGAGGGTCACATCCTAGAGGCTAGCAAACTCTGGCCCGTGGGCTAATAATGGTTGGAGGATTAAAAGTCAAAAAGGAGAAAAATTATTTAGTGGAACGTGAACATTATATTGAATTCACATTTCCATGTGCATTCATAAAATTTTGTTGGTGTGTGGCCACGCCCATTTGTGTCCACGTCACCTGTGGCTCCTGCTGCAATGGCAGACCTGAGCCAAAAACGCTGCCTATGGGGCCTTCACAGTGAAAGCGGACCCTGCCACACCCGCTCTCGGAGTCTCTGCAGAGGGAAGACTGATGGAACTGGGGGGCAGTCAGCCTGGGGCGCTGTGTCAGAAAGCCGGGGTTTGGTCCCTCTCTGGTCAGTTTCCTCATCTGTGAGGTAAGAAGAACCATGGTTTTCACAAGTTAACTGATTCTGAGTGGTGATTAAGTTTAAACTGCTTGGCACTCAGTCAATGCTGAGCTTTATTATTATTCCTGTAGATCAGAGGTTCTCAGTCACAGGCCACTCTGCCCCCAGAGGACACCCTGCAATGTCTGGGGGTGCTCCTGGAATGAAGTGGGTGGGGTCAGGGATGCTGCTGAACACCCTGCAGTGCCCAAGACAGCCCCCCACAGAGTACAATCCCTGAATGTCACTAGTGCTAAGAATGAGGAAACCTGCTACAAGTAAAGCATAACCCCTACCACAACTTTATCTTCATTTTACAGAGGTAGAAACAGGCGCTCAGAAAGGTCAAGTGATTTATCCAACATCACACAGCAAGTTGTGTCTGGGTGACTCTTCACACTAAAGTGCCTGTGGCTCTAAGGGTCACCTTCACTGTCCAGGACATGCTGTGGGACCTTGATCTATTCGCTTTGCCTCTCAGAGCCTCATTTTGCTCATCTGGAAGGTATAGATAAAAATGCTTTCTGCTGTTTGGGTTGTGAGATGAAAAGTGATGGTGTGTGAAAAAATGGCTGAGTCAATAACCAGAGGCCTCTATCATCATTATTCTTACTATTTAAGAAAAGAACTTGGGCCCTGGCTGGTGTGGCTCAGTGGACTGAGTGCCAGCCTGCAAACTAAAAGTCACCAGTTTGATTCCCAGTCAGGGCACATGCCTGGTTTGCAGGCCAGGGCCCCGGTTAGAGGTGTGTGAGAGACAACCGATCAATGTGTCTTTCACATGGATGTTTCTCTCCCACTCTTTCTCCCTCCTTTCCCCTCTCTCTAGAAATAAATAAATAAAATCTTTAAAAAAAAAGAAAAGAACAGAACTTTGGAACTTGGGTTTGATCTCTGGAGGAACCACTGCATAGCTACATAACCCTGGGCAAGTGGCTTCACCTCTCTGTGCCTCAGTTTCCTCAAATGGGGATAATAAAAGCACCAATTTAACTGGAACTTAGTATGAAGATTAAATGCATTACCCCATGTTAAACATACAGCACAGGGCCTGGCATGCGATAAGCACTCAGTGAATGTCACTGTGGCAGTACGTAGTAGTTGGAACAGTAGCCTGCCTGTATGTCTGAGTTGACCCCTTCCTTTTCCTTGCCTCAGACTCCTACCTGGAAAATGGGCTCATTTCCCAGAACCCTTTTAGCTGGGAGAGTCTCAGATTCCCCCCCAACTTCTGTTGAGTGGAGGCCCTAACTATACGAAAAGGGGACCCACCTTCTTGTCCTTCTCTTTGGCCCTGTCCAAGGCCTCCTGGGCACGACTCTGGGCCTGACGTGCTTTCTCAGCCTCGGTGCGCAGTCCCCGGAGCTGCTGCTCTGCAGTGGCTAGCTGGGCCTCAGCTGCGTGCCGTTCGCTCTTCATGAATAGTGCCTCACGCTGCACCTGTGGCCCGAGCCAATGTGTGAGCCTGAAAACACCTGGACCCCAAAGATGTCCTGGACCCTAAAAGTCCTCTAACCCTCTATTTTGGCCTGAGGACATTTAAGTCCATTTTGACCTTAAGGAGTTTGACTCAGGAAGTTCTGAATTCCCCAAGGCACTATGAACATTCTGACCCTACCAAACACCTCTGATCTGCTAGCTGTGTTGCTTCAGACAAGTAACCTCTCTGTGCCTCAGTTTCCTCATATGTAAAATGAGGATAATAACAGCCCCCTACTTCACAGGGTGGTTGTGCGGATAAAATGAACAAATATATGGAATACATTTATAACAGTGCCTGGCACACAGTAACTGCTCTATTTGAGTTCCTGATATTATTATTATTATTATTATTACCACTAATGTTCTTTCCTCTGCCAGTGGTTGAAGGTAGACTTCTTAAAAAATGAAAGAAAAACAGAAGAATTTGGATGAAAAGCAAACAGATGCCCAAAAGTTGATGATTGCATTTTCACAAAAATATCAAGATCGGAGAGCAATGTTAGATTTGCAAAAATTGACCCAGGGTGGGGGGTGGGGGGCAGATAACACTGGTCTTTATAGAAATAGCAGCTCCAGGAAAAAGTGGACAATAATTAGATGTTACAATGAGTACAGACTGCTCACACATGAACAACTTAAATACATCCTACATGGATCGATACATCAAACCAGACTTGTCAAGTTTACCTGAACCACAAGTGACCGTGAGCAAGGTGAAAACTGCGAGGACACCCATGCAGACAGACGGCCATACTTAGGCTGGGCTGGGATCAAGGGCCTACCCAGTTTAAAAGGGGGTGTTCTTGGAAAAATAACCACTCTAGTTGTCATTTATAGATGGTTTGTACCATCATGGCCCTAAGTAGCTAACATAAATTAAACCACTTAATTTCCACATGAGGATTAGGAACTATTACAGTCCACATTACATGGGCAAGTAAACAAGCTCAGAGAGAAAAATGCTTTCCTGACAAGCGATGAATGTAGCGACTTATTTATATACTTGCTAAAACAGTTCCCGGTTTTGCTTTGTTTGTTAATTTAAGAAAAAAGGTGGAGTCAAAAGTCCACTATCAAGGATGAAATAAATATTCTCTGGGTTTAAAAAAAACAACTCAGCATCAAAATCTACTGGGTTCCAAATGAGATCAG